AAGCTCCAGTGTTGAAACCAATTCCTGCCTCACTGGACGTATGGGTGTTGTGCAGACTTGGGACTCCAAATTCGGTCGAGGGACTAAGAAGACTCGAACTCCCAAGGTTTAAAAGAAAGCTGGCCTCTTCAGTTGCTGAGGTTTCCTGCCGTCAAAGTTAAAGGATGGTTTGGTTGCGGGGCTCATGTACCACCTGATGCAGACACAGCTAGACGACAAGTTGGCAGCCGCAGATGGTGTGTTCGTGAGGAGAAACCTTTGGCGGGCACAGTGCAACAGCTGCTTGAGAGGAATGAACTCGACAAGGCACGTTGCGGTCTCTAGGACTTCTTTGGGCTTAGTTCCTCTTCTGATATATAGACAGTATATATGCACATGTATATGTATACATATGTGTACTTGTCATGGGTGCCAAAATTTTCCTCAAGGTGTGATGGGTGTCAACATCACTGAAGAATGGAAAGACGCGCTGAACACCCACAAAACACCTCAGAAGTTGAGAACATCACCACGCTAGTAGTAACAGGTGCCTTACTAGTAGTAACAAGAAGCTATTAGGAACAAGTGCCTTACTAGTAGTAACAAGAAGCAAGTAGAAACAAGTGCCACGCTAGTAGTAACAAGTGCGTGCATCGCTTGTAGTAACAAGTGCCTTACTGGTAGTAACAGGTGCACATCACCATGTTCGCCAGGCGGAGGCGATCTTCGGCGCGCTGGGCGCCCGGCGCACGGAGGCGCTCCAGTTGCAGCCCTTGCAGCAGCGGGTGCTGCGGGAGAAGGGGTTGCAGCTGCTAAAGGTGCCCCAGGGGGGCAGGGATGAAGCATCGGATGAAGGGGTGTAGACTTTTGATCAATAAACCAGCCCAGACATCGGTTGAACACCTCTTCATCACGTTTGTTTTGTTGTTGTGGGGGTTGTGTAATCGAGAGTCTACATGTATGCCGCTCAACTGGACGTGGCAGGGATGAACGGTTCAGACCATAACGCTACATGTTGTCTTCTTCGGAGTGTCGTGCAGTCTTGGTCGAAGGATCTTTTGGAAGAGGGCCTAGTCTGATGGGTTTGATTCGTTGATCATGAGCTCCTTAACCTGATTGAACTGCAGGTTGGGGTGGAGAGAGCTGAGACTTGAACCCGTTGGCATATATAGCTACGGTATGTACTGTAGTACCTTACCGTGGCTTGCTGCCACCTCAAATTGATGGCCTTCGCTATCTGACTTTTATGCAGATAGCGCTGGATGGGTGTCTCTTGAGTCTCTCTCTCTCTCTCTCTCTTTCTCTCTCTTCATCTTCACCGCGACCAATTTGTTGGCCGGGTGACACTGACAGCCTGGGGAAGAATCATGAAACATCACCTGCACTTGGACGGCCGACCTCCAGCCACGTGCAGGCCGCGCTTTGGCCCGCGGCCGGGCAGTGCCGTGGGCGGAACGTTCGTTCGGGCGCAGGTTCCGGCGCGTGCGGAACCGGCCAACCCACGTTCTGGCGCGTGCGTGGACAGCGTGGCAGTGAATCTGTTCAGTTTTGGGGATCCTGTCTTGCAGGGGGTGCTTTTGCTAGGGGTCGAAGGCGCGGAGGAAAGCCTTACGTGGCAAAAAACGGCAGGTCATCCAGACTTGTTCGCGGACCAAGGGCGCTAGGGTAGCTGAGGGTAGGTGCGATGCCACTCATTTAACTGCGATGCCGATGCCGCCCAGGCATGGCTTCCCCGAGCTCAAGCGCCGCAAGCTGCGCCATGCCATGCTGACAGCGCGTGCCTCGGCGAGAACGAAAGGGATGCGAGGGGGAGCGCGCCTCTGCTCGCTGTGAACGACATCCCCGTCCGACGGTGGTCCAGTGTGTTTCCTTCCGTGTTGCTTGATTCAAAGTCGGCGTTTCACCCGCCACTGGGGCTCTCAGGGGTTCTTTGGCAAGGAGTTTCCCTTTGAACTGATCCTTGCTTGTTCGATCCTCTTGTTTTTCTTCGGCCAAGCTCGAAGCTTCGGGATTAGGCTTGAAACGGTGGGCTTCAGAACACTGCAAGGGATCAATTCTTGATAAGCACCACTTCGGACGTTTTTCTCTCGGGAGGTGTTTTTTTTTTCTCTCGCACCGATCTGCCAGGAAGTGCCATGGATGATCCTGCGACGCTGATTTGCTAAAGTGGGCTGGCAGGAGAGTTTCCCCCAAAAGACGGAGTCAGGCAAATAGATCCTTGGTGACTGCAAGATGCTGGAACTATTGGCAGCCACTGCCACTCCATTCCGGGTGATGCATGATGTGTTCCCACTTGCAGGTGATGCTCGGGTATATATATATATATGTATAACTTATATATATATAAGATTTAGAGACTCAAGTTGTACAAGGGTAGCATTCAAGCGGGCATCAGCTGGGGCATCAGGCCATGGGATTGGCCCCACAAACAAGGCACCGCATCAGGTCGGCTATGGCCAGACAGATGGGCATGCAGCGCACCGGCAACATGGACATTGTGTACGACATGCAGCCAAGGCATAAAGACCCAGATTTTGAGGCTTCCGCTAGCCAGATCAAGATCTACCGCCAGTTCTTTGGAAATTGGCCTGAACATCTCCACCGAGACCTGGCCAAGGCCTGGTAAGTCACCAAAGACAGACTCAAGCAAGAAAAATACCCCTGGCAAGTGGTCAGGGGACCAGTGGCAGCACTCATATGCTACCTGCATGACGGAGGTTGGGACACTACGCGCTATGACAGGTGGACAAAGCCAGGCTCAAACGGAGAAGATGACTTCGAGCTGAACATGCATGCATCTTGGTTCTTCATCAAAGAGGAGTTGAGCAGGGCCCAGGTGAGAGAACGCATTTGCAACATCCAGAAAAGGACCATGCTGCAAGATGTACAGCAGCCTTTGGATTGGGTGCCATGGAAAGGATGGCTAGCCAAGCCTAAGCCAACCCATGCACGAAGACTGCCTTGCAAACATGGCACCAGGGGGCGATTTTCACCAAGATGTCAGAGGGAAGTGAGCAAGGACACCTGACATGTCCACACTGCAACCAGCCAGCTACGGCCATCCACCTGCTATGGCTATGCAAACAGACGAACAAGAACTGTCCCCCACTTGACGGGGCTGACCAGAAAGAAATAGAGCAAGGCATCAACCTCGAGTTCTGGGCACAAGGGCTTCTACAAATGCCGGAGGTCAAGATATCCACTGGCGGTGCAGCCATACAGGCATGGGGCTCCATGACAGAACTTTGCGCTATTCAGCTCAAAGGCCTGGAGACCATGACCATTGGCATAGCCACGGCCAGTGGAGACAGTCCGGTGAGGCACTACATCGTCACGATTGTACACCACACCATGTTCGCAGGCGAGATGTTCAGAATGGGGGCAGTGACAACTGTGCTTCCAGGCAAACAGAGGCAATGCAGGTCTTGGTACTATGGCATGCGGATGATTGCACACTATGTGGATCTGAGTGTTCCAGTTCGGGTCCATGTACTGTCTGTGAAAGCACGGGAAGCTTGGGTGCATGGAAAACACCTAGACTCCTAGACCACTTCTTTGGCCTCTCATCCTTGAGTGACTTGGGACCAACGTCAAAGGGTCAAAGCCCTCAGCATCACCAAAGCACAGCTACGGGTCATGCCAACCACAGGATCTTCCTTGAGAACTAGATACAAGGACGCCAACAAGGCTGCCATGGAAGTGGCTATTTCCAGAAGGCCACTGGGCCAAGAACGAGAACTTCGCGAGCAAGACAGGAAATACAACAGAGTGGCCCCTTTGGCAGTGCAAAGGACCAAGTATCTCCTTGATACACCAGATCACTTCATCCATGAACAAAAGGCCACCGGCAAGGACAGGCGCCAGAAGACCAGAGACGAGAAGAAGGCTCTCTTCCTGCAGATTAATGTCACAGGAAAGGAAGAAGGGCATCAATGGACACCAAAACGAAGTGGGCTTCAATGCGCACAATGCCAATGCAGGATTCACCAGCACATGTCCATCCAACAGCTCCGCAATGCCAAAGAAGAGAAGTGCGAGCTTGCCCAAAGCTTGCCAGTGAAAGGAGGTGAACCACAGCTTGAAACCAAGCAGGCCTTTATTAAAAGGATCCTTGAACACCGGGAGCCGGATGGACACGAGCTCACGATCCAGAACCACTACCTGGTGTGCGGCAAATGTGGGCTGCGCACCCTGCGCAACTCCGCAGGAGAGAGAACATAGAGCAGCTGCATCAAAGCCCATGCTGGAATGGTCCACACGATGTACCAGCCACGTGGGCTGGCAACCCCACACACATCCTGACGCGCAGAGGCCACAAAGTATGGTGCAAAGTATGCGAGGCATGCGCAATGCCAGCGGGAGACAGCTGGAAGGCAAGCAAGGCATTGCAAAAGGCGTGCAGCAAGGCAGAGGAGCGAAAGCAACTTCCTCTGACCTTCAAGGCCAAAAGGGCCAATGAGCAGATGTGAAAAAGGTCCGAGAAAACATATAAGAGTTAGAGAGTTAGAGGGGGCCCAACGTGCGCAAGCCCAAGCCCCTCACTGTTTCGAGCAGGCATATTCCTCCGGATTTGGACAATGACATGTTAGAGTGGCCGTTTGCCATGCACACGCCCCAATTATATATATATATTTATATAACACTAATTTGTGGTGGCCTGTGTGCACATGCACATGCACATATCATACTTTTCATATATCTGCAGATTGAACCTGTTCTCTTTCATCGATTTTCAGGTTAGTACACCTCCAACACGCACCAACAGTACCACACCTAGTAGATCAGGTGCTAGTTGCGGCCCCGGTCTTTTTTTGGAAGGTCAGCTTTCCACGACGGGTTTTACAGAGAAGACTTCTCCACGACTCCACAACCTCTTCCACGCGACCTCCACCTCCACCCAAGGAACCGGAAAGCCCTGGGCTCCATGATGCTGGAGGTCGGCTGACTCGACGGACCGTCCGGGTGGTCCGGAGGTGACCGGAGGTGACCGGAGGTGACCGGGGGGGATACCGGGTGGGTACTGGAGACTTTTGGGGGTTGACCCCGCGTTCGGGGTGCGTGTTGAAGAGGACCCAACTCACCGAGGGGCTGGCACAGTCACAGTAGGGTGGGATGGGCGCCATTGGGCGCCAGAAGTCGTCTCTCTCTCTCTCTCTCTCTCTTTCTCTCGCTTCTGAAGTGGGTCGATTCCAACGTCCGGTCGACGGTTCGTCGCTGAAAGGGCCACGTCGTTCGTTCTCCCCGCTCACATCCATCGGGCTGGGCCCAAAGTGCGTGTGACCTTAGCACTCGGGCTTGTGTTGTGTTTTCTTCTGGTCCTAACAGGGGAATGGAGCAAAACTTGGTGGGTGAAGTGGGCAGCGCTGGCACCGGCGTCGGGCTGGGCTGCGTGTGCTGTGGAAGCCGGGAAGAGCTGTTGGTCTTTGAAAAGTTTTCAGGTGCCTTTCAGTCTGCATGTCGTCATGCAGCCTGTGAACCTTGCTTGCGGAATTGGACCCTGAAAGAGCTTCCCAAGTGCCGACAACGCTGGATGCTGCGAGTCGAGTGCCCCTGCCAGACCTGTGGCCGACAAGTTCCCCAAGCCTTGCCGCTGAAGGTGTCTGCGCATGCACGAGCCCTCGCCGATGCCATCGATGCCTCGTCCGCCAACAAAGTGGCTGATCAGCTAGTCCAGTGGCCGGGCTGGCCCAATGAAGCCTTAGTGTGCCCACGCTGTGGGGAGGAGCAAGACCAAGTTCTTGTGAACACTGCCTGTGGTCATGGAGCTTGTCGAAACTGCTGGCTAGCAGATTTGCCGTCGAAGTTGGAATGGTGCAAGGCCTACTGCGCACTGGATGTCCCTTGTGGGCATGAAGGTTGCAATGAGGGGTGTTTTGAAGTGCTCAAGCATTTGGACAGCCCAGTGATCCCGGAGGTAAAGAGATACGTTGAGCAAGTTCAATCCGACCTACTTGAATTCTCCCCTTGGTGCGTGCACGAAGCGAACGCAGGTGCTCCAGGCCCTGTTTGTCCCTCTTGTGAGTACCGGGTCACCGCGCTCCTGCATTGTTCCTGCAAACAGCGCGTTGCATGCAAGCAATGCTGGGACTCCGATTTCAAGTACGAGGTTTTTCGGTGCAAGAACACCTCCGCCTTCGTACTGCATCAATTGCATGGCACTTCATGCCAAGGGTGCTCCTCGCACCGTGAATGCCTTACCAAGGCCTACAATAAGGCCTTGAAGCGTGCAGCCCCGTATGCCGCTCCTCGCGGGACAATTGCTCCTACCTGCCCAATTTGCCAAGAGGCGCTGGTCTCAACAATTAGTCAGGACCGCGCAGGCGGTTCAAGCTCCCCGTAGTGCAAACGAAGATTCTTAAGGACTCCCACAGTTTTGGAAGTAAACACCGGGGGCTTCCTGCGGATTTTTCTTGGACCGACCCATTGAACTGTGACAGGTTTCGCTGGTGCTGCTATGCGCCAGCCGGACGCATTATTGGCATGCGGCCTGCGAGCGATGTTGGATGAGCTGGGCGGAAGGACAGCTGGACAAATGCTTCGCAGAGAAGAAGCTTCCTCGATGTTTGTGGCCACAGTGCCAGGTGTCTATGGCAGGCGGGGGCTCAACATATGGCAAACATGGACAAACCATGTCAAAGCATCTAGACGGGGGGTCTCTGTGTTGGTGAGGTTTTGGGCGCCAAAGGTTTTAGGATGTGCCACAACATGAAAGCTCCAACCTGTTGGTGCCAAGCCAGAAGCAACCTGCCACAGATTCAGCGATGCGCGCTTGCCACAAAAAGCCACACCGTTGATCTTGGGACTTGTTCTAAATTCCAAATATATGAAAGCTCAACCCTGGCAGATAAAGAAAACTTCTTCGCAAAAGACTGCGTTTGGGAGCTCGTCCAAGACTCCTGCTACTCCAGCTCGGAGCTTAAAGATTTTCTGGGCAAATTAAAACTCCGCAAGCGCTTGCAAAGCAACCCCTTCTTCCCCGCTGCTCTTCAAGTGGAATGCCCTCGGCCTCGGTGTCTGGGAATTGGCTACTTGGGCTATGACACGGTGATGTGCTTCTTGTGCGAGCATCAATGGGAAGATTCAGGAGAAAAGCCCTTGAAGCTAAGCGGAGCATGCATCGATGAACTTGAAGCGGCAGGTGTTCGAGTTCAACAATGCCCCAAGTGCCATGAATACATTGAGAAGAACGGCGGTTGTGATCATATGACCTGCCGATGTGGTCACCAATTTTCGTGGACCACTCTGAAAACCTGGGGCTCACTAGTTGCTCAGTAGTTCAAGCCACGAGCCTATGCATGAGAAAACTCTTGCACTGACGCTACTCTGCGGCAATAACACAGTTTGCAGATCACCCTGAAAATGCTGACTACAAGTTGAAGGATTAAGGTACTCATGTACTGTAGTTTTGTTTGGCATCTTGCTGGAGCTGGAGATCTCGGCACCATGCAGCATTGGACGATGGGCTGTTGGCGAGTTCAGAGTTTTGTGTACAGATGTACAGCTGGGTGAACCGTCGCGGGCCAAAAAGCGACTGCGCTTGGCTCCTAATAGTGTCCTCGCTCCGTTCGTAGCGATGCCAGGACCCCCTAGTAGCTTCTTATTACTAGTAGCTACTTGCTCCTAGTAGTAAGGCCAGGAGCCCCTAGTAGCGAACCATCGCGGGCCAACAAAAACTGAGATGCATGTTGAGTGGTTCGCGGGAAGCTGAACAAGCCAATGCTTGAGCCATGTTGAGATTCACCTCGACGGCCGCGTGATCCCATCTTGCACGTGATGTTTTTCTGCCTACCGAGATCCAAACAATCATGGAAGTGGAATACAGTCTCTCCGTAAAGGAAAGCAGTCTTCCAACAACAACCATGTGCCACGTAACCAGGTTTGTTGGATGGTAGTTTTTTGGGAGACTTGCCTGATTTGCACTGCCTCAATGCAGGTCGCTGGGCCGTGCTTCGCACACTCTACAGAGAGCGCGGCGTGGTTCTTGCGGGCCTATGGGGAGCTCTTGCCCGAGGAGCAGGCACTGTGGTGAGGAGGGCGCTTGTTCAGGGCGGTGTTTGGCATAAAGCTGGTGGGCAAAGATGTGTGTTGGAAGACGTCCTTTTGCCAGTGTCGGTTGCGGGGAGTTTGGATTGGTTTGGGCCTTGACTTCGATGGTTTGCAATTTCGTGTTGGGCGTGATTCTCTGATAGCTTCAAGTCATTTCCTCCCAACTTTGACCTATCAAGCTGCAGACAAAGGCCTCAAGTCTTGCAACTAATCAAGATCAAGAGCTTCAGAGTCTGTTTAGAGGACGTATCGTCTCATCTCCTCAGCTTTCAGGTCAATCCTGCCATTCAGAGGTTGGTGCGAGAACGCCCTGATCAGCAGCCCGGACAAAACGTGTTTGTGTCCTGCTGAGGCTTCAAGGTGTCAACGTGTCCGGCTCCAAGGACCATTGCCATTGAAAGCTATCCGGCTACTGAAAGCTATCCGGCTGTCCATAGGTTTCAACAGGGGGGGCCTGGGTGTGGGGGGGGAGGGGTGAAGTAGCCATGAACCAAATGTCTAAATGTTCGTTTGTACATTAAGTACTTGTGCGGCAACAAAAACAATAAAGAATGCATGCACACACACACACTCACACAACATACTATGATCAACAGACTCTGCCTGTCCAAAGCTACATACCATGACTTGCCGTGATCAGAGACCTTTTTGATCCTTTTTGTGTAAAACAACTTTGGTGTGTCGCACAGTTGGTGAATCCATCCGTCCAAAGCTATTCATCCCTCCTGTGCCATTCTGAGGATTGCGGCCATCTTGACCGAGACCCAAAAATTGCTGGAAGAAATCGGCCGTGAGGTGCCCGATGCTTGGCGTGCCCAGTGGGCAGCGCAGGGCGGTTTGAACAGCTGGAGGGGTTGAAGCAAGCAAAGAAAGCAGCATAGACTACTTCCACGACAGATACATAGATCGCCCAAGGAGGGTCCCGATGCCGTGCCATTGAAGAGAGGGAGCCATCGATCATGGCAAGAGCAACACCCCACAGCCCCAGTTCTACATGTTCCAAACGAGCACCCAGGTGTACACCCCAAAACCCTGTAATCTTGGCGGGTGAGACAAGACTGCAGACTTGTGCATCGTCTCCGAGGAAGAAGGGTTTGAACCCATGTCAGGGCCCCACTGGGCATTCACTGAACATTCACTGGGCTACTGTACATTCTGCCTTGTTGAACCATGAAATGACGCCCCCCGAAAAAAGGTCATCATCATTTGCACATCCTGCGTTCATAAATGCGGACGTGGTCTGAGACATCAACCCAAATCTTGCAGAACATGGATGCTCTAACCAATCAGCGACCTCTCAAGGGATCATGCAAAACTCCTGGGGAGAACTGAGTGAAACCCCTGAGAGGGAGCAGACAGGAGGCTCACCCAGTAGGCCCCCCAGTAGGAGACCTCTCGCTCACCCAGTTCTTCTTCATGGACTATTGGGTGAGACCACATTTTTCGTGCTGGTGGCCAGAGCTGGGTGTTTCACCCCAGGATGGCTTGCTGCCCAGCGAGTGGCAGCAGCTCCACCGAACCGTGCGGGAGGCACTGGCGAAAGGCCTCTTGGCCAGCTAGAAGGACCGCCACGGGCCGAAGGCATCCTTGGGGTGGCGGCTAAATAGGAAACGCCGTAGATTTGGTTCATTTTTGCGAAGATGCGGAAGCCACCAGTAGAGCGAGACATGGCGGGGTGGATGGATGCTTTTGCGGTGTGCCCTTCGATCTCAGGAGATCGAACGACACCATTCTAAACAAATGATGCCAATTTGTTGCGACGGTTTGCTAGGAACAAGTGCATCGCTTCTAGTAACAAGTGCCTTACTACTAGTAACAAGAAGCTATTAGGAACAAGAATGCTATTCTACAAACAAATTTGTTGCCAATTGAATTCAGGGTGTCCCAATTCATGTCTTGTGAGGTCAAGGCCGCCTCTTCGGCGCTCGGCTGTGACTTCGGCGCACCCTCGTCTTTTCGATCAGGTCCTCCTTGGGCAACACAGGTCGAAGCTCCATATTGGTTTGGTGGAGGAACGGCGACCGTAAAGCTTGGACGACGTGGTCGGAACCGAGGCAACGACGACCAGTTGAAGGTGGCTTGTCAGAAGCTCATCGACAGCCCGGCAGGTTCGGCCCAGCGGGAGGACCCGAGTCGAGTGGGATGAGGGGAAGGCAATCAAGCACTACAGATGACGGTCTTGTTTCGAAGATGGGATTGGCAGAGGCCATATCACCATGCCTTGGTGGATTCAGGCAGGCCTGGCAGGCATGCCAGGCATGCCATCGTGCAGGTGTCTTCTACAAACGGGATCTGCAAGAGGTGGTGGGACGTCTCCGGAGTGCCTTCCGGCTGCCCCCGTCCTGGTCGGTGGAGTCGATGCTGCGAGGCTGACGGGCTGACGGTCTGAAACGGCTTCTGACTGCGAACCGTGAGGAAACTGGGGTGAGCGGATAACCCTTCCACAAAGGGATTTCCAAGGTTTTGATGAGGCTTGGCTTTGTAAAACGACATGCTTCTTGTGCTCATATCTCACGGCTGTGGTGCCTGTTCTATCAAGCCGAAGCCTGCATCGCTCTTGGTAGGTTCTGCTGACAAGCTCTTGGCCAAGAACGAGGTCACTGACGGCACTTTGCTTCGACTCTTCGATGAGCGCCTGGGACTCTTCGCGCTTTCCGCGGACGTCTTCGGTCACCGTTCCGGAACGGTGTTTGGGTTCGGAAGTGCGGGCAGCCAAATAGGCTGTTAGCTGGCGATAGGCCTGGCAGGCCTGGCAGGTGAAGATACTGCCATGAACTTCATGAACCTTTCGGCGTCTCAGAGGGCGAAAGATTGCCCCTCATGATTCGGCTTTCATTGGGGCGCTTGATATGCAACATTTATGGCATGGCATGGCTTCCGCAGCCATTCGGGCTGAAGAGACTCCACCCTCCACACTCGACCTGTTAGGAGCAACCCGCCCTGTTTGGAACATGGCCCGCCTCAGCAGCCTTGTCGTGCTGGCGGCCTGCGCTCTGCTGGCCCGTCATGTCTCCACACTGCTCTTCGCCAACGCGCCGAGCACCTCGTCGCGAAGCTTGCGCATGGCACAGCAGGCGGTGGACGAGCGGGACGAGGGGCTGGTGCTCATCAAGCCAGAGGAGTCCGGCAAGGTGCTGGGCTGGTGCCAGTTTTACATCTTTTGGTCGCGGTCATTTGACGTCAGGTGGTGCAACGCGGTACAGTTTCTTTGCTAGCTGCTAGGTATTTTGTTCGCCGTCCCTGGGTTAAGTTGTTTCAACGTCGATTCTTTCCGCGGCCGGGAGAACCAAAGACCCACTTCAGCCCAAGAGTCCTCTCCGCTTTATAAGCTCACTGGTCCGGAGGTGGTGAAGAGGGACAAGTTCAACAACCCTCCTCGGATTGTGATGAAGACCAACGACTGGGACCAGCCCGAGATTCAGTTGAGCACGGGCGCCAGCAACCAGATCAACTACATCACCCCGGTGGTCCAGTCCGATGATATCAAAGCCTGGTTGTCGCTGAATGTGAACTTCTTCGCCATCATCGGGCTCACCACGGTAGGGGGTCTCATCGAAATCCAGCGCTTCTTCCCGGACACTCTGTACTGGTGAGGTGTGAGGGCGATATCGGCTCCCCAGGGGGGCCGTGTCATGAGGGTCTCGAGCAGCCTTTTTGAAGGGCGCCGGCCGGCCGAGGAACGGCGCAGCCCAGGAAAAGGTGGGCGGAGCGGCGCATCGCGGGCACATTGAGGATTGGACCAAATCTGTGGTTTTGGGTCCCCTCGCCTGGTTGGTTCAGAATGGCAAGAGGAGGGGAGGCCGACTTTGACCATTTTTAAGAAGCTTTGTGGGTCGCCAGAGATTTGGTCCATCACATGATGTGCAACGGATGTTGCTGGATATTTTTCGGTTCAGTTAGTGTTCAGAATGGGCCTCCACCCAAAACCCGAGGCCTGCGAAACACTATGTAGACGAATGCAGATAGCTTGGTTGCTCAGCGGCTAGGAAACCATGGAACCACATGAGTGTTGGAACCAAGATGTTGTATATGGCACCATATGCATGTAGTACCCCGTATCACACACACATACATATATATGATTAATTATGATGGTCCATGATGGTTATATAACAAATCTACTGTCCCAATCTTGTATTCTATTGCATACTGGGCTCTGCCTATAGCCATGCTAAAAGCACACACACACACATACACACCCGTACACCTACATATTGGGCTTGACCAATTACATGTAAGAGTCAGTGAACAGTTATCACTATTTTAGAGAAAGGCCTTTACTAACTAACCATCATCATCCACTGCTACTGGTCATAGGACAGACCCAACTTACATATGTAATCTTGGTCGTCACGTGTTTGGGGTCATGCATGCTTCATCATCATCAAGCACCGATGAGGCTCTTGCGAAGCACCGCCCTGCCACACGTGCGCACGCGCGACCGACGAGGCCTACCGCCCAGGTGGGGGTGTGTGGGTGGGTGGGAGATTAAGTGAAGGATCCGAAAGATAAAACTGGGACCACACTTTTCGGATCCCAAGATGCAGCTTTAATACGCGCTGGGATGCTGGGATTTGTTTAGACTTTTGAGATTTTTGGATCTTAGTCTTTATATTCTCTCCCTCTCCTGGCCTGTGCAACGTTGTTCAAATAGCTTCTGATTGTATCGTTTTGTCCCCTTACCAACTGTTTGCCGCAATGCCACTTTAAAGAGAATGCGTGAGCCCAAATCTCTCATACATGTTTACCCGTTCTCACCTTCTCAGCTTTCCTGACCGTCTCACATACAAGCCTCCGACAGTAGATTCTTGACATCATTCAATCCAGGGTGGCCTCTCTGCCTGGGTGGCCTGTCTTTTTGCCTTTCCGTCTGATCATGTGACAAGCCTCCAGTCCTCTTGGAGGAGTTCCCGGCCCAGGAACTTTCGTGCAGTGAAGGCGGTGCAGATCATGAATGCCCCATGTTGGGCCAGCTACTTGCAGAGGCGCAGCCAGCGAAACAAACCTGGAACCTGGAAACCAGCAACTGACCGAACCAACCAAAGGTACAAATGTCCCAAGTACGGGACACCTGAGCGGAGCTAAACAACTGTATATACATAAACAAATATATATATATATATACATACATATATCATACATATATATATATACATCCTCATTGTTGCATGCTTTTACTCAACATTTGTTTTCTGGTCTCCAGCGTTTGATGCTTTTACTCAACATTTGTTTTCTAATCTCCAGTTTGAAGAGAGAAGAGAGAAGAGAGAAGAGGAAGAGAGAAGAGAGAAGAGGAAGAGAGAAGAGAAAAGAGGAAGAGAGAAGAGAGCTAAGTGTTTGACCCTCATGGGGTGTGGCCCAATTTACCATGCCTTGGATTCGCCGCTTCGCCCCGTTCACAGGCGCGACCATGTTCTGCAGCAATGCCTGAAGGTGAAGGCGGCCGTGAAAGATTCAAGATCGGAAAGACAAGTGAAGTTGGATTTTGCACCCGCTGGGTGTGTGATTTCACATCTGCTGGATCATGCTGGAAACGATGCGAGTGCGAGTTCCCTTCGGCCGCTCTCACTTCGACATTCCCAACCTAAGCTTGGGCACCTCTAACATCATCGAGGCATATAGTTTGTCCAATTACATGTAATGGTCAGTGAACAATTATCACTATTTTAGAGAAAGGCCTTTGCTAACCATCATCATCCACTGAGCCCTGGCCATAGGATAGACCAAACTCTCTATATTCACATCCTTCGATTCTTCAGCTTTTCCCGCCAAGCGCGCCGCTCCCGACCCAAAACCCCGCCCCTTCGCAGCCAGAGACTCCCCAAAACCTCCCCGTCCGCCACTCGACCCGGTCGCCACGACCCAGTGCCCCGGCCGGTGCGGTCCATGGTCCTCGTCCCCCCCGGTCAGGCCCGGAGCGACGCGACCTACTGGCGCGAGGGGCTCAATGGGGCGCTGATGACCGACGCGCTCACCGAGCGGATGGAGGTGGCCGTACTCACGCGCGTGCCGGGGCGACGGGGTGGGCGCGGGGGGGGGGGTAGGCGGGAGAGGTTGGATGTGTGGTGGGTCGGAACGCCAAACCGTGAAGCCCTCCAAAACATCCAAAGCCGAAGCACGTGAAGATCTCTTCAGTATACTCTGGTTTTGGGATTCGGATTCCAGTGGGAAGATGGATCTCCATGGATTTCCTCCGATTGTGGGGGGTGTTTTGGTTTTTCCAACAAATTTGCGGAAAATGGCCACTGGTTGGCCGCACTTGGTGGAGGTCTCGTGAGGTGATCGACCTCTTGCCGATCTATCCAATCATGGAAGAGGGACAGTGTCGGGGGCCGGAGTGTTTCCAGTTCCCAGAGTGGTGTTGTTCTTGCCCATTGGCTAATAGTTGTTCTCAGATTGTTGGTCTTTTTTCATCTCCGGTTTCCCGATGTTTTTGGGGTTCCGAACGTCGGTACTTGGCTCCGACGCATGTTCCGACGCATCGGTCGCGACCGTCGTCCGCCGGCGGGCCGGTCTCGGGTTGCCTGGGCCGGTCCCGAAGGCCGGCGACGAGCCGGTCCGAGCTCTCTCCGAGCCGACGAGGCGTCGTGGCTTTTCGTCTTTACTCCACTGCGAAACGCAGGTGAGTGCCTTTACTCCACTGAAGCGTGAGGCCAACGCCCCTCGGACCACCCCGGTCTTTGGGGGAACCGGTTGGAAAGGGTCTGGGAGCCTGAAGGGTGGCTGACCGGCTTTAGTGATGACATAGTTGGGGGCATTTGGGGGGCCGCATGGCTCATGCCCCCACGAACCGTTCGCTGAATTTGTTGGGTTGATCCTCCCGGCAGCAGTTGGCCTCAAACCATTCGAACCCCTTCGGACCTTTGGACGGCCCAGGAGTGTTGGCTTTTCCATGGAACCAGCCACCATGCAGCGGAGGGCATCACCACCGACGACTTTGACATGACCCGAGCGAACCCGGCGGGTGACTTCGACGTAAAAAGAAACCAGTGACTTCGGGTTGACTTGGACATTGTCTTCCGAGCGAAAGTCTGCAGGAACCCCGCATCACTTTTTGGGCCATGGGTTGCGGGTTGCTGTAGATTTTCCCCCCTTCAACCCAAAAACCATTGAGGGAAAGGCGCCCGAGCAGTTGGAAGTTGGAAGTGCAATAAAAACTGCCATTGGGCATCATTCGACGAAGATGTGTTGTAGTCCACTCGGAAGTCGGAAGGTCCTCACCAGGTCCTTCAAGAACACCGTCGCGTGTCAAGAAAAGACCGAGTGACGTGGGGTCCGATGCAGATGGAATACAGTGGGGTCGCTCCAATCACTCGAATGGCCTGCATGTAGTATACACTTAGTTCCCCATGACACCTGAAAGAAGTACATCCCTGAAATAGAAATAATCATGGAGGTGGAAAACGTCCCTAGTGAATGATTCTGAATACCAAACAGGTGGTTTCTACTTCCCATGCTTATTTGCAGAGAGTCTACGTCCTTGGTCCCAGGGTGGAACAAAAAGAACGCTCGGCTGTGACGAGAGATTCTCTCGTCGAATCGACTCGGTCGGCTCTTGTGTCGCCCAAGAAACGAAGGCCTCTTCGGCGCGGGTGTCTACTTCGCGGAGTCTGTGAGCAAGGCGGATGAGTATGTGAAGGGGAAGCACGTGGATGGTGCCTGGAGCTGCGAATGGCACGGGTGAATGGGTGATGGAGATGGCGCCAAGATCGAGCCAAAAGGCTGAAGCCGACCGAGCCAGAATTCACTTCCATGCACTTCCCATGTGTTCCAGTGCGCAAGTCACTTGTTGCAGTATTGGCCATTCTTTCAGCTATTTGCTATTTGTTGATCTTGGATGATTTTGGTCAAGCCCCGCTGCAAAGGGTTGGAGATCCGGACGAGAAACTCTCCTGTCCGAGACGTCAGAACGGTGGGTTTTGCTGCAGTTTTCCTTGACGGATCCGAGCGTCTTTTCGGAAGACGGCCAAGATGGGGTCCATCTTAACGAGACGGGGTCCCTGAGCATCCATGCCAGAGATTCTGAGGAGAGGGGGTTCTGACACATGTCGGGGACGCCTGACAAAACCCGGCGAATTGTGAGGTGTAGAGCTCTTCCCATTGTTGCTCTGTCGGGTGTGTGGCTTGGCAGAGACCGCCCGGTGGACCAGGCAGGTGACAAGGCCAGAAAAGGACAGTGTGTACAGGGAGTAGAGTCGAGAACACTGTTTGAAGAGAAGATGCGTGATACGAAGATATCTGGTACAGTATTACAGTATCAACTGCAAGTGATTTCACAGGTGATTAACCCAGTTGGGGCGTCACAATCAGGGCTGCTTTGTGGTGCCAAAGGTCGTCGACTGTACCGGGTGCTGTTCGGGGTGAACCACTTGGTCATCCGCATTATCCTGGACATGCAGAACTTCAGTGTCCATCACTTAACCACTAAGATAAGGGAAGAGTGTCCAGTGCACCCGGTCTCTCTCTCTCTCTCTCTACAGGTGGAGAGTTCCACAGAGCGGACCATCAGGGGGCCTGGCCACCTAGGCTTAGGCTACATTTACTACTGCGACCAGCGGAGGCCGTCGGCGCGGGAACTGGAGGAGCACTGCTTGCTGGAAGATTGGCATAGTGTCCTTGGAGATCGTTCCTGGGCGGAGGAGGGAGAGGACATGGAGAGGGGATGGCAGGAGCTGCATCGTGATGGTTTTGTTGGAAGATCGGCGAAGAAGAAGAAGAAGAAGAAGGTCTGTCCCATTCCCTGTGACAGTCAGTGCACAATTAGCATTATCTTTGGACAAGGCCTCTACTAACCATCATCATCCACTGAGCCCTGGTCATAGGACCCAAGGTATTGATCTTGATTTGTGTATTTTATTGCTTGTCGGACGTGCCCAACGTCCGGTGCTTTCACCCTCTCCCCCCCGACCCGACCGTGCTGTGGTCACACACCTTGGAGGGGGGTGTCGGTGGCTGCCTTCGGAGTCTTGGAACTCTGGTTGCCCCACCTTGTTCTGCAAGCATGCACTGAGGAAAGAAGACCTCTAACACCTTCCGGGAGTTCATCATTTACGACAACCTTCAAGCCTTCCCCGCTTACATCATTTACTACTCCAGAGAGTACTGAGCCGCAAAAGAATTCGTGCGCTGGAGAGGGGGAGCGGGGGGGCCCTGACTTGGATTTCTATGGTGGGCACTTCAGATTTCTTAACTAATGTACACTGATCAGGAAACACCTTCCACCTGAATCCACCTGAATGGTAAAGCATCTCCATATGGGCACCATCGTTTGCCCGAGGGAAATATGGGACACCATCCCGATCCTCCGAGCCGAGAGTTTCTGGATCCAGATCACCGAACCGATCCTCCTTTGAAACCTGATTTGAACCAACCACATCCAAGTCACGATCTGCAGCAAGGGCCTCTTCCGCAACTCGTTTGCCACGCTGAAGAAATCGCCGGTGTCTGGGGCGATTTGCTTGGCATGTGGGACTTTTGTGGCTGTTTGGCTCAAAGATGAAAGATGCTCAAAAAATAGGTCAGGGTTCTGGGGATCTTATGGTGGGCATCCTCCCCCTGTGCAGTTCTACAGAGGCTTCTTGAGTAGCCCCATTTCAGCGGGCCCTCCATTTCTCTCTTGGCACGCGTGAATGATGCCAGTGGTGAAAAGCTGGTCGAGTCGCAGGAGCGGTATATGATGATATAGGCCTCTTAACAGGTCAGTTTGACCTCATGAAAACACTACTCCATGGGCTTTTCAGGACCTCGGTCAGAGTCAGGCCTGTCGGGGTCAGCTTCGTCACGTGGCCGCGGCGGAAGTGGCCGCTTCCGCACGAGCACACCTCGCGCCGCATGGCCAGGCGCGAGCCGCACGCCACGTGGCCGCCGCGTGACCGTCGCGTGGGGGCGGAGGGCCGACGGCACCCGATATAGACCCCCAAAATAGATACAGTGGGATCAGCTTAGATGGCACAATTCCCAAGAGGTGGTTTATATCAACCCCCATCCAAAGGACACGTAGGGGTTTGTGCCATCTACTCTGAGACCACTGTAGTTAAAAGTCGAAAGAATGTATTGGACACCGTTTCTACTCGGGTATCACCATAGACTTCAGCCGTTTGTTGTGTCATGCAGCTATTGAAGCAGCTGTTGAAGCAGAGTCTCAGTTTCAGATCCGGCAGGCTGCATGAGGCTCCTGCTGCCGGCACTCGCCTTGGGCGCAGACGTGCGAAAGAAAAGCTTCTTGGAAGATGGATTGGGCGAACAGAGGTGCACACAGAGGTCGCCCTGAAGGGCGGACGTTGTTGGAAGGACGTGCCGTTTGTTTGTTTGCCCAGCTTGTTCAACAGGAATCGATCTACTGCGTGGTGTGGATAAGAAAACGTTTGGGCCAACAGAATCAGCCTTGCAGGGGGCTTTTCGTAGCGGAAGGGCCTCAACCTGTGCCAAGCTGCTTCAACTTTGCACGTGGCTCTGGAGCAAAACTCTCTTAGCGGTTACTGTAGCTGTTCATTCAGTGGAGAAGGCAAAGGTCGGTTTGGTGCTGGTTTTTGTTGATTGAAGTGGATGGCATGAAGGCATTTTCTCTACACACAGAGGCGTTTCGACTTTCATGATTCATGTTAGTGCATAGTGAGTGCATTCAGGCTGACATACCTGGGTTGAACCATGGAAGCCAGGTCAGAGCACTTCTTTGACCCACCAATGAAGGGTTCCTACAGAGGTCCAATAAGGTAGTCATAAGCCATGTACCTTGCAGTGAGTTCAGTTTCGGGACTCTCAGGCTCTCTTGGATTGCTTGCTGGACACCGAAGCAAGGGATGCAAGGGAGATTGGACTCGGATGACCTCAAAAACCGTTGGTCAAATGGTGTGACATCTGGACTCAACCACCACCTTTTGGAGTGGACCTTCAGGTGGCCTCACCCTTAAAGGGGTCTTTGTCCTCCCCCCTTCGACTCAACCACCTGGACACATCAGGCGACGACTTTTGGACCTGTGCCGACGACCTGCGCTGGCATCGCTTGCGGGAGACGGTGCGACGCGTGGCCAGGGTGTCTTTTTTGTAGTTCTCGGTTTCCTTCGGAAGATGGGAATGGGAGGGGGGCGAGGTAGATGCTCCACTTGGGTATATTTTTGATTTACTGTATTTACAGTATATAAGTTTGTTAATGGCTTGATCTCAATCCGACATATGGAAGTTGTGGACGTTCCTTCTATATAGCACCCGCCCTACCTGCCTTCGCCTGCCAGTTGTCCAGCAGCCTCATCCCTCCCTCCCCACCGCTCCGCCGATCCGGCCGGGACGCCGAGGATATGTTGTTTGGAAGCCCGGCGATCCACTGCGCACCTCCGTCGAGGGCTTTGCCACCCTGGTGCCCTTGTGGCTCAGCATCAGCACAGGCCGCAACACCGGGACAGAGAGAGAGAGAGGCGTGTGTGGTGTCATCTGAAAGTGGGGAGGAGTTGCCCGCTGAAAAGCGAACCTGAGGAGGTAGTGTTCATTGAAACTGACGACAGGCGGTCAAATATTAAAAACACACACACACACACATATATATATATATATTGTTGAACTCGCACTGGAGTATTGACCAAATGTAGGGAACCCTGCCC